TTCTAAAAAAATTCACCACTCTCGCAATAATGGGAATTCCCGGGAGAAGTGAACTGATCTGAGTTTCGTATCGACCGTAGATTCGAAATGAACAAGAATGGGCCCTCGTGGAGCGATTTTTAATTTTTTCATTTTTGGACAATTCTTCACTTGAAAAATTTCCTAAAAAAATTCACCACTCTCGCAATAATGGGAATTTCCGGGAAAACTGAACTGATCTGAGTTTCATATCGACCATAGATTCGGAATTAACAAGAATTGGCCCTCGTGGAGCGATTTTTAATTTTTTCATTTTTTAAAAAATTTTCACTCGAAAATTTTTCCTCCCTCAATTAAATTCAATCTTTATTTTGAAAAATTTTTGAAAAGTTTTTTTTTCCGAAAAAAATTGTTGGAAAATTTGCAAATCGGGTATGTTCTCCCGTTACGTCAATCGAGCTCTTTTCAAATTTTAAAATCAGGGCTGACTTCCATGCATTGAGAAAAAAAATTTTTACCCGTAAATGTTTTTGCAAAATTTTCGATCAGCTCCAGCCTGATAATTATTTTTTGCACTCTCAATTTGAGTGGAAATTGCATTGAAATCGTAAGAATTTCGCAACAGTGGTTGATCTTAGGATAAAGGAACTCTTAGGATAATTTTTGGGAATTCTTTTTCACGCGTATTCATCAATCTCAGAAAGAGATCCGTGGAGTCCATTTGACCAAAGCATCAAACCTGATTATCAGCTTAATGGAGCGAGAATCATGTTGTAAACGATATGATGCTCGCTTCCCATGTCCAACCGAGACAATAAGAAGCATCTCTTGTCATCGGTGGCTAACCGCGTCAATCCATTTATCCTACATGTCTGTTATTCACACCCCGCCCTTCATGTACCACGCACACCCCTCAACTACCCAGTTACAGGAGTATCTGTTACAAATACAATTGTCATTCAGACTCCATTAAAATCTTTTCGTGTCAACCCGAGTGTGATTTGCAATGAACAAATACTCAGTGGTTTTTTTACACAGTAGTTAGAAATTTCTTGAATTTCTAGGCGGCGGAAAATATTCAATACGAAATATTGGCGCGATAAATTATTCAAGACAATTTACTTAATTTTTCTTCTTTCAAAAATATTCAGTAAACATCACAAATATTTTCCGTAATTCCAGAGCAAGAAATGGTTGAGAAAATTAAAAAAAAATTGAAGGGTTACGGATTTTTTCCTTCTGTAATTTTTACTGAATAATTATCTCGACGTACAATGGTACATGCACGTGAATAATTGAGCAGTCGATAATTGATACTCGAAGTGAAAAAAAAAACAGTGAAACACGGGGCGGTGTTCGTGCCTGGACGAATGGTGAAACAC